TATTTACATTGAATTCTAATTAATTTTAAAATTAAATTTTATTAAAAAAATTTAATATTTATTTTTTTATTTATAAGATTCAAATTTAAAATTTTATTTTTTACAAAAATTAAATAATTTTCATTCAAACCAATGAATAGTTAATTTTAAATCCTAATAGTTGATGTGTCTATTTGTGGCAATGGTCAATTGGATGTCCAAATAAATTTTAATCTAATTATTTGAATGAAATTATTCACTTGAGGGGCTATCACTTTCCCATCATATCATACGTTTGAATTTCGTATCAAAATAAATTTAATAAATTTCAAAATAAATAATATTGAATTGTTGATAGAAAAAGAGATAGAATACATTTATACATATCTAATTCAAAAAGATTTATATTTATTACTTGAAATTTTAAGAAATTAAATAGAAAGTAATTTAAAATTATATTGTTTTAAAATTAAAAAAATATCAAAATAGTTTTATTTATATTTAACTTTTTTACTAAAATTTATTAAATAACATAATTTTAAAATATTTTTATAAAAAATGTGGTCAATAAATATTTTTCTTAATTTTTATACAAATCATTACTCATTAATTTTTAAATTTAATTTTGACATATATTACTAAATCTTATATTATTATTTTTAACTATTGGTCTCGCCAGCAAATAATCTATGAGGGTGTTTGATTAGACCAATAACTAATAACTATTTTTGAAATACTAAAATAAATATCACATATGTATATGGGTAACTTACTTGAAAAAAATAGTAGTTTGTAAGTAAAAGTACTATAAATTGCAAATAAGTAAAAAAAATTATTATTTTACATTTTAGATGGTATTAAATTATAAAATAAAAACATTTAAATTAAAAAAAAATTAATATTAAAAAATTTACTATTTATTTAATAATTTATATTTTATAATCAAATATTGATTATAAAATATAAATCTCATAAAAAAATAAATATATCGCATTTAACTCTTTAAGTCAAGTGATCTGCAATCACACTGTAATGCACTCTCCCTCCCTTTTGGGTGGATTCCAACCCGCCCATGCCATGAGACATTGTTCAAAAAAAAAATAAAAAACAAACAAACAAACATAGCAAGTGGGTTTTGATTAAAACACCACGGATTGTAAATTAAAGAAAAGAATGTGCAACTTGGTAAACGTTGGGAACCTCATTCCAGAAGATAAAAAGGAAATGTCCTTGAATGGACCAAATCCCATTACCAAATGTATTCTTTGAACTTTCCCTGAGAATTCAAAGCATA